GTCAGAGGTCAGAAGGTCAGAAGGTCAGAGAGTCAGAGGTCAGAAGGTCAGAAGGTCAGAAGGTCAGAAGAGAAGATCAGAAGGTCAGAAGGTCAGAGAAGGTCAGAAGGTCAGAGGAGTCTACCTGTGATGGCTCTCCTGATCTCCGTCGCCGCTGCCTCCCTCATCTCCAGCGAGGCCTGTTCACTGTACCAGGCCGTGTGGGGGGTGCAGATCAGGTTGGGGGCGTCCTTCAGGGGCCCCTGCGCAAAACTGGACACATCCAGACTAAACTCACTCCACCACATTTTCAAAACACAAAAACCTCAAATCCATTAAGTTACTTAAAGTGAGTAATGTAATCTGAATACTTTGGATTACTTGATATTGTCCTGCTTTTTCACTTGTTTTGTATATTACCATTTGTCATTTCATAAATAAATTAAAAATATATATATTGTCATGTTTTTTAAAACTACATGAATGTAACAACCACATCCAGAAAATGACTAATACTTCACCACATAAAAAATATTACTGATAGAGAAATTATTTTTATATGAACAATGACAATTATGTCCACCTACTGTTAGTGTCATATTGTATTAGTTTAGTTCTAGTTTAGTCCTGGTTTAGTCCTGGTTTTAGTCCTAGTTTAGTCCTGGTTTAGTTCTAGTTTAGTCCTGGTTTTAAGTCCTAGTTCAGTCCTAGTTTAGTTCTAGTTTAGTCCTGGTTTTAGTCCTAGTTTAGTCCTGGTTTAGTTTAGTCCTAGTTTAGTTTAGTCCTGGTTTTAGTCCTAGTTCAGTCCTAGTTTAGTTCTAGTTTAGTCCTGGTTTAGTCCTGGTTTTAGTCCTAGTTTAGTCCTGGTTTAGTCCTGGTTTTAGTCCTAGTTTAGTTCTAGTTTAGTTCTAGTTTAGTCCTGGTTTAGTCCTGGTTTTAGTCCTAGTTTAGTCCTGGTTTAGTCCTAGTTTAGTTTTAGTCCTAGTTTAGTTCTAGTTTTAGTCCTGGTTTAGTCTTCTAGTTTTAGTTCTGGTTTTAGTCCAAAATGTGAAAACAGTAAAATCCCTCTGTGTAATCCATTTATTTCAACAAAGTAACTGTAATCCAATTACCACTCACTGAAACAGTAACTGAATACAGTTACTCATCATTTGTACTCTGATTACATTACTCCGGTACATGTAATCTGTTACTCCCCGACACTGTCAGGGAGACACGGGGGGGGAGGGCGTCTGACGTCAAACTCACGTGAAAGGTTCTGTTTCGTGCACGTCCAGCGCCGCTCCTCGTATCCTGCCCTCCTTCAGCGCCTGAGCCAGAGCCTTTTCATCCACCAGACCCCCCCTGGCCGTGTTCACCAGGAACGCACCCTGACGCATCTGCCAACGGAACGGGAATCATACGTCAGACATCCACCAGGGGGCAGAGTGTACAAGAAAACACCGAAACACAACAAGAATAATACATGAAACATCCACCAGGGGGCAGAGTGTACAAGAAAACACCGAAACACAACAAGAATAATACATGAAACATCCACCAGGGGGCAGAGTGTACAAGAAAACACCGAAACACAACAAGAATAATACAAACATCACCAGGGGGCAGAGTGTACAAGAAAACACTGAAACACAACAAGAATAATACATGAAACATCCACCAGGGGGCAGAGTGTACAAGAAAACACTGAAACACAACAAGAATAATACATGAAACATCCACCAGGGGGCAGAGTGTACAAGAAAACACCGAAACACAACAAGAATAATACATGAAACATCCACCAGGGGGCAGAGTGTACAAGAAAACACCGAAACACAACAAGAATAATACATGAAACATCCACCAGGGGGCAGAGTGTACAAGAAAACACCGAAACACAACAAGAATAATACATGAAACATCCACCAGGGGGCAGAGTGTACAAGAAAAACACGAAACACAACAAGAATAATACAGAAACATCCACCAGGGGCAGAGTGTACAGAAAACACGAAACACAACAAGAATAATACATGAAACATCCACCAGGGGGCAGAGTGTACAAGAAAACACCGAAACACAACAAGAATAATACATGAAACATCCACCAGGGGGCAGAGTGTACAAGAAAACACCGAAACACAACAAGAATAATACATGAAACATCCACCAGGGGCAGAGTGTACAAGAAGAAACACCGAAACACACAAGAATAATACACAAACATCCACCAGGGGGCAGAGTGTACAAGAAAACACCGAAACACAACAAGAATAATACACCAGACATCCACCAGGGGGCAGAGTGTACAAGAAAACACCGAAACACAACAAGAATAATACACCAGACATCCACCAGGGGGCAGAGTGTACAAGAAAACACCGAAACACAACAAGAATAATACACCAGACATCCACCAGGGGGCAGAGTGTACAAGAAAACACCGAAACACAACAAGAATAATACATGAAACATCCACCAGGGGGCAGAGTGTACAAGAAAACACCGAAACACAACAAGAATAATACATGAAACATCCACCAGGGGGCAGAGTGTACAAGAAAACACCGAAACACAACAAGAATAATACATGAAACATCCACCAGGGGGCAGAGTGTACAAGAAAAACACACACAGCAAGAATAATACATGAAACATCCACCAGGGGGCAGAGTGTACAAGAAAACTGAAACACACAAGAATAATACATGAAACATCCACCAGGGGGCAGAGTGTACAAGAAAACACTGAAACACAACAAGAATAATACATGAAACATCCACCAGGGGGCAGAGTGTACAAGAAAACACTGAAACACAACAAGAATAATACATGAAACATCCACCAGGGGGCAGAGTGTACAAGAAAACACTGAAACACAACAAGAATAATACATGAAACATCCACCAGGGGGCAGAGTGTACAAGAAAACACCGAAACACAACAAGAATAATACATGAAACATCCACCAGGGGGCAGAGTGTACAAGAAAACACCGAAACACAACAAGAATAATACATGAAACATCCACCAGGGGGCAGAGTGTACAAGAAAACACCGAACACACAAGAATAATACAAGAATACAAGTGAAAACACTGAAACACAACAAGAATAATACATGAAACATCCACCAGGGGCAGAGTGTACAAGAAAACACTGAAACAACAACAAGAATAATACATGAAACATCCACCAGGGGGCAGAGTGTACAAGAAAACACCGAAACACAACAAGAATAATACATGAAACATCCACCAGGGGCAGAGTGGACAAGAAAACACGAAACACAACAAGAATAATACATGAAACATCCACAGGGGCAGAGGTACAAGAAAACACTGAAACACAACAAGAATAATACATGAAACATCCACCAGGGGGCAGAGTGTACAAGAAAACACCGAAACACAACAAGAATAATACATGAAACATCCACCAGGGGGCAGAGTGTACAAGAAAACACTGAAACACAACAAGAATAATACATGAAACATCCACCAGGGGGCAGAGTGTACAAGAAAACACCGAAACACAACAAGAATAATACATGAAACATCCACCAGGGGGCAGAGTGTACAAGAAAAACACTGAAACACAACAAGAATAAGAATAATACATGAAACATCCACCAGGGGGCAGAGTGTACAAGAAAAACACCGAAACACAACAAGAATAATACATGAAACATCCACCAGGGGGCAGAGTGTACAAGAAAACACTGAAACACAACAAGAATAATACATGAAACATCCACCAGGGGGCAGAGTGTACAAGAAAACACCGAAACACAACAAGAATAATACATGAAACATCCACCAGGGGGCAGAGTGTACAAGAAAACACTGAAACACAACAAGAATAATACACCAGACATCCACCAGGGGGCAGAGTGTACAAGAAAAAACATGAAACACACAAGAATAATACATGAAACATCCACCAGGGGCAGAGTGTACAAGAAAACACCGAAACACAACAAGAATAATACATGAAACATCCACCAGGGGGCAGAGTGTACAAGAAAACACCGAAACACAACAAGAATAATACATGAAACATCCACCAGGGGCAGAGTGTACAAGAAACAAGAATAATACAGAAACATCCACAGGGGCAGAGTGAAAACACTGAAACACAACAAGAACTAGAAAAGCACTCAGACAGCGCAGACCTCCGCCAAGGACTACCCCCATTTTTTATATAAATTGCGATAAAAATCAGTCTTCTGGATCAGATCCGGATCAGCCTTTGGAATATGAAAGAGGATCCCATTGTCCATCCCCGAGTCAAATTTCATGGGGTTTGGTCAATAATTAACTGAGATATTGAGAAACAAACTTTTTGGCCCTATTTACCACAATGTTAACTAAAATTTCAAAGTGATCCAGAATCCAGGATTTCTTTCGGATCACCCCCAAAATGAAATCACTTCCAACAAATCCTGAAAATTTCATCAAAATCGGTCCATAACTTTTTGAGTTATGTTGCTAACAAACAAACAGACAAACAGACAAACGCCAGCAAAAACATAACCTCCTTGGCGGAGGTAATAATACATGAAACATCCACCAGGGGGCAGAAGGCAGAAGGAACACACGCTTGCACATCTGGAAAAATAATAAAAATAATACGGCTGGGCGATATGGAGCAAAAATATATCTCGATATATTCCGATATATCTCCTAAAACTCCTACAAAAACAAATCTGTTCGGCAGTTCATGTAGGAACAAAGTGCTTCTGCCACATTTAATATTATAAAAAATCCCTAATTACATAAATAATAATTTAACTGTAAAATAAAAGAAATAAAACATATTTCCTTCTTTTCATTCATAAATAAAACAACTCAACTCAAGTTCATCTTTGCATTAACTCTGTAACCGTACGAGAACCATGAGCTCCTTCATTATTTGAACAGATCCATGTTCCTCACCAGCGTCAGGATCTGAGGTTTAATCCCACAATCCACTGCAGATCAAACCCAACCATTCAAACACTATTGTACAAGTGACACTGCAGCACATTATTCATTAAAATCTACAAATAAACTTTACATGACTAAACTTTTCAACATATAAACATAACGACTCTAGAGCCTCATCAGCCCGTTCGACATGATCATGTGTTTCATTCAGTTTTGTGCACATGTGTTTACATTTTACAGAAACAAAACTTAAAACCACATGACTCATTTGCATAAACAGCTCTTTGTCTTGTGTCGCTGATGTGGTTCAGCTTCTGTCGGACTAAAGGACACGACTCAGTGTTCATATGAGTGTTCATATGTTCTCTCTGTGACAGAGGATGTGCTGCTGATGCTTTTGTCTGGAAATGGTGGAAAAGTTTCGTGGCGCTAGAAGTTTTTCACTGACACCAACTTTGAGCGATAGTGACGAGTGAATGAGACACAAGCAGCAAAATGAGGGAGGCAGGAGCACGCCTCAATATATATGTTACAGCCCAGTGCTAAGGACAAAGGAAAGTAACACAAACCAGATAAGATGTAAAGTAAACGGGTTTTATAAAGTGATGTGGGTAAGTACAATAACAAAATAAAACGTTTTACATTTGAAAAAATCTGAATTCCCCAAAGTAACTAAACCACTCCTAAACTAAGGTAGATAACAGCAACAAAAAACAACTGCCCAAGGGCCGAGCCAAACTGGCAAAACTAAACATTAGAGTAACATAAACACACTTTACAATATCAAAGAGAGATAATAACTAGCGAACGTCTACAGATGTGAGGGGCGAACTGAAACTGTCAACCAGCCGCCCGGAGGCACAGGCGCACTGCACTTTTATTGGTCGGGATGATTGATGTGGAGGGACGGGATTGGAGGAACGGGACGTCAATCCTCCAACCACAGCACGAGTGACGTCAGAACCAGCCCACAGCGACGGAACCACGGCCCACAGCGACGGAACCACGGCCCACCAGCGGGCACCACACAGGACATGCAAATATGGACGATACACGCGGTAAAACAAACGGGGAGCGCCACGCGATCGGAGCCGGAGACAGGCCGCGATAGAGTTTTTAAAAATTCTCAATATATTTAAAATATCGAGATATCGCCCACTCCTAGAAAATAATATATGAAACATCCACCAGGGGGCAGTGTGTACAAGAAAATACCAAGCTCCAGGATTTAATGATCATCTATCCAAGTCACTGGGCCGGGCTCCATGGCTCCCTGCCCACTGAGCACGTGCAGTCGTGCTCTTTTCTCCACACCAGAGCACGCGAGAACACACAAGCCCAGCGCTCTCCTGTATCACATGACCGCTTATGTAAAGACCACTTAAAGGGTGTATGGAGAGATTTTCCAAGGAACGAGAAATCCAGGACTGTTTGTCCTTTTTCAAATGTTGCGCATGCGTGAAACCACCTCCCCTCCCCTACAGCTCCTACGTAGAAACGCCTCCTCCCTCCTCCTCCTTACGCCAGGTTTGTTTACAGCCGGTGCAACATGACTTGTAAACAACTAACTACAGTGTTGGTTAGGCAAGACGAGAAGTGAGGAGCGGGGAGCGGGTGCCGGCGGTTTTCGTTCGCGGACGAGAAGTGTGGAGCAGGAAGAAGAGCGGAGCGGGGAGAGAGGAGGGAGAGAGGGGAGGGGGTGCGCGGAGATTCTGTGCCCGGAGAAGTGAGGAGGGGGAAGAGCAGATCGGGCAGGGGGAGAGGAGCAGGAAAGGGAGCAGAGAAGGTTGCGCGGAGATTCCGTGCGAATGAACTAGCTAACACGCAGCAGCAAGCGGACTCTTTCTTTGCCTGAAAATTACGTTTTCAGACATAGGATATCGCATTCGGTCCTGAAAAACGTTTGTCTAACTCTTGAAATAAAGTACGTTTTCATAATAAGCAGAAGTTTCCTGTCCAGGAGTAATTTGTGGACCAGTGGTTCAGTCTTTAGACCCTTCGTCTGCTTCAGTCGCGCCGTCGCTGGAATGAATCTACAAGAATCACCTTAGTTTGGCTTCGCTGCTTTTCCCCTTGTCTTCTTCTTTCAGCGACCTCAAAAACGGACTTTCTTTTGCGGCGAACTGCTCCTGGATTCTTGTCGCCATTGCAACAAACTTTGTGCGAACTGAGAGGAAGATATAGGTCAAAAAAAGAACTGTTGCGTTGGTGGAGTAAACAGCGTCTGTGCGTCTTGCGTCTGTGGACTTGTGACAGACGTACGTAAACCACGTAACGGCGGCGCAGACAAGTCAGTTACGCTAGAAACGTAGGGAGTTGATTGACAGCCTGTCAGCTCACAGATAACGAGGCAGTGTCGTTATCTATTGGCAAATGTTTAGCCCCACCACATCCAGAGTTGATGAATTTTTATTCTCTTTTATATGGTCATCATAATTACAAGGCTACTGCATCTATAATCTATCACTGACAATTTGAAACAAAAAAAAATCGTCCATACAACCTTTAAGTCTTCACCGCTTTCTATTCATTCAGTTGGGTGAAAGGTTTATTTGTTAATAATACTCTGTTGTGTCTGGTCCTTTATATTTATGTGGCATCATTATTTTAGGCCATAACAGGCTGTTTATTGGAGAGGGACACGCGCACATGTGACGTCACACGCCGACTTGGACACACGCCAGGAGCTGTCAGGACCGTGAACTCGCAATTTGAGAATATATCGCTGCATTTGTGGGATTATTGCGTTTCCAATCGTGCTGGATCTCGTCTCGCCACGGGAGCTGCTGGACTGTGGGACAAATCTGGAGCTCGGGTGGCGTGAGTAAAACCGCAGACTTTTTTGACTCACGTCACGCTGCTGCGCCGCGAGGGGAAAAACTTTGGGAACTTTTGGGGGGAAGTTGCTCGGGACTGTTGTGGTGAAGGGGGGTGGACTTATATCGAACTGTTCCTTTATTGTTTTGTTGCACTGGAGTTTGGGTTTTGTGTTTGTGTTTTGGGGTGGTGTTTGGGGTTTATTATTTAACGTGGCCAAACTCGTGTGTATCTGGAAAGGCCAATAAAAGCCGGATAAGCCAACAGCAGTTCATTTTTTGCATGTCTTTATTTCACCCCGCTGACATGAATGGATCCTCCCGCGACCTTCATTTTTGCGTTGTAGCTTTTCTCTTGTGGAGAACAGGTGATTTGTTACACTTTGACCAATCAGAGCGACGCACTCTTGGACGTTTGATTCATTCCCGTTTGTAGAATGACACTAAATCTAAAATGGCGTCTCGTTTTTGTCCAAATGTTAAACCCTTCGTCTGATCTGTTTTCCAAATCTGCAGCGTTTACAGAGACGTCAGTTTAATCTCACCACAAAAAGAACCGTCAGACATTTTGATTGTGTCTTTATGACGCAGCTCAAATATTTGCACATTTACAAAAGGAAACGAAATAAACATCTGGATAAGCCTAAAATATATACAGCTGAACTGAGTGCATGTTTATATCACACAGAAAGTGTCAGAGGAGGGAGGAGTATTTAAATTACCTGTGGAATGACCTGTTTGTAGTGAAGTTAATGACAAAATGACACTACAGAGAGTAAACAGCACAAACCCGTCTCCACCTGTTTGATGTTCATGTCCAACAATCTTGTTAAAGGTCCAATATTACACAAAAGTGTCTCTTGTGAGCTTTTAGTCAAGTTCTAATGTTGTTTCCTCCTCAAAAACAGACCTGGAGACGTGTTTTGTTTCATTTACACATGTTTGAGAACATGGACATGTACACTACATTATTACAAAGCTCAAAACGCTCTGTTCCACCTTGTGATGTCATGAGGCAGAATTAACAGCTCCGTTTACACACCGTGTGTGGTGTAGAGGAAGTGTTTGGTGCAGAGGATGAGTGTGCGGTGCAGAGGATGAGTGTTTGGTGCAGAGGATGAGTGTGGCGATGCAGAGGATGAGTGTTGGTGCAGAGGAAGAGCGTGCGGTGCAGAGGAAGAGTGTGCGGTGCAGAGGAAGAGTGTGCGGTGCAGAGGAAGAGCGTGCGGTGCAGAGGAAGAGCGTGCGGTGCAGAGGAAGAGTGTGCGGTGCAGAGGAAGAGTGGTGCAGAGGAAGAGTGTGCGGTGCAGAGGAAGAGCGAGATGAGTGCGGTGCAGAGTGAAGGTGCGCGGTGCAGAGGATGAGTGTGCGGTGCAGAGGATGAGTGTGCGGTGCAGAGGATGAGTGTTTGGTGCAGAGGATGAGTGTGCGGTGCAGAGGATGAGTGTTTGGTGCAGAGGATGAGCGCGCGGTGCAGAGGATGAGTGCGTTTGGTGCAGAGGAAGAGTGTTTGGTGCAGAGGATGAGCGCGCGGTGCAGAGGATGAGCGCGCGGTGCAGAGGATGAGCGCGCGGTGCAGAGGAAGAGTGTGCGGTGCAGAGGATGAGTGTTTGGTGCAGAGGAAGAGTGTTTGGTGCAGAGGATGAGCGTGTGGTGTAGAGGATGAGCGCGCGGTGCAGAGGATGAGCGCGCGGTGCAGAGGATGAGCGTGCGGTGTAGAGGAAGAGTGTGCGTGTGCAGAGGTGCGCGGTGCAGAGGATGAGCGCGCGGTGTAGAGGAAGAGTGTGCGGTGTAGAGTGTGCGGTGTAGAGGAAGAGCGCGCGGTGCAGAGGATGAGCGCGCGGGTGTAGAGGATGAGATGTGCGGTGAGAGGTGCGCGGTGTAGAGGATGAGCGCGCGGTGCAGAGGATGAGCGCGCGGTGCAGAGGATGAGCGTGCGGTGCAGAGGATGAGCGTGCGGTGTAGAGGATGAGCGCGCGCGGTGCAGAGGATGAGTGTGCGGTGCAGAGGATGAGTGTTTGGTGCAGAGGATGAGTGCGGTGCAGAGGATGAGCGCGCGGTGCAGAGGATGAGCGGTGCAGAGGATGAGCGCGCGGTGCAGAGGATGAGCGCGCGGTGTAGAGGATGAGCGCGCGGTGCAGAGGATGAGTGTGCGGTGCAGAGGATGAGCGCGCGGTGCAGAGGATGAGTGTTTGGTGCAGAGGATGAGTGTTTGGTGCAGAGGATGAGTGCGGTGCAGAGGATGAGCGTGCGGTGCAGAGGATGAGCGTGCGGTGCAGAGGATGAGCGCGCGGTGCAGAGGATGAGTGTGCGGTGCAGAGGATGAGTGTGCGGTGCAGAGGATGAGCGCGCGGTGCAGAGGATGAGCGCGCGGTGCAGAGGATGTCAGACCTGTTTGATGGTGAAGTCGTTGATCAGGTGGTGGTTGTGTTCGTTCAGGTTACAGTGCAGAGACACACAGTCGCTCTGGTACAGCAGATCTTGTAAAGTATAAACTCTCTGGACGCCCAGCGACCGCTCCAGCCCGTCCTGCAGGTACGGGTCGTAGAAGATCACGTTAAACCCAAAAACCTTCGCCCGCACGGCCACCGCCTGCCCCGAGCGACCTGCAGGGGGCGACACAGACAGGACGGATCAGATACAGACACAAGAAAACAACAAAACCTTTAAAATTCATCATGTTTTTGTACCAATAGAGACAAGATTACAGACTGTGTTTAAAGCTGCATTGTGTAACTTTTCTGGTGGAGGGTTCGTCAAATGCTTTCCTCCGTGGAGATTTTATTGTTATTATATTAAACCTTTTTTTTTTTTTTTATCTTCATGGAGACCAAACCAGTTACAGGTCAGATCTGTACGGAAGCCCTGAGCGGCAAAAAATAAATAAAATAAATAAATCTTAGAACCTAAATGATGTGCTTTTTTTTTTTTTTTTTTTTTTTTGTGCCAGTCAGGGCTTTTGTAGATCATTGTCCCATAATCAGGAAGAGTCAGGAAGGGTGTGTTCACATGCTAATTAATTAATAAATCTTAGAAAATAGAGCCCAGATGATGTGCAGCTTTTATTTATTTATTTATTTATTTATTTGCCGATCAGGGCTTCCGTAACTCTGTCTGAATTAAATTATAAAGAGTTGCATTGTCCCATAATCAGGAAGAATCAGGAAGTGCGTGTTAGCATGCTAATTCATTAATAGATCTTAGAAAATAAAGCCCAAATTCTGTGCAACTTTTTTTTTCTCTTGCCGATCAGGGCTTCCGTAACTCTGTCTGCATCTAATCATAAAGAGTTTCATTGTCGCATAATCAGGAAGTGCGTGTTAGCATGCTAATTATTTAATAAATCTTAGAAAACAGAGCCCAAATTATGTGCAACTTTTTTTTTCTTTTTGCCTATCAGGGCTTCCGTAGCTCTGTCTGAATTTAATTATAAAGAGCTTCATTGTCCCATAATCAGGAAGAATCAGGAAGTGCGTGTTAGCATGCTAGTTGTTGTAACTCTGGACCACTGCGAACCGTTTTAAGTGAACAAGTTCTGTTTATCACATTTTTAAGGAACATTAAAAAAAATTAAAAAATCAGGTCCACAATTGAACTTTCCCACATGTAGAAGTTACTGCTTTGTCTGGAATGTTCCGCAGTGTGGCTTTAACCCTTTCTATCTTCATGGAGACCAAACCAGACGAGAGAAGTTACAAGTGAGATCTGTGGAGAGGCGACCCCACTCACAGTCAGAATGTCTGTATTTTTGAGCTGAAAAATATTGAATAAACGTAAAGTAGATCTGTTGAATGTCACACTGTGGAACATTCCAGGCAGAGCAACGACATCTCCATAGAAACAAGCAGGGCCGATGATCAGGAAGAATCAGGAAGTGCGTGTTAGCATGCTAGTAGTTATAACTCTGGACCACTGTGAACCGTTTCAAGTGAACAAGTTCTGTTTTTCACGTTTTTAAGACAGAAAAAAATCAGGTCTGCAATCGAACTTTTCCCCATGGAGACGTTATCCCTTTTGTCTGGAATGTTCCGCAGTACGACATTAAACCCATTTATCTACACGGAGACCACAAAAAGCCAAGCTACCGGTCAGATCTGTGGAGAGGCGAGCCCACTCCCAGAAAGAACACATGCTTTTCAAGGTATTTTTAAGCTATAAAAACACACTCAAGAAAGAAACGTTTACATTCCAGGTTTGGCCATAACATCTCCATGACAGACCTCGCTCGAAAAGTTGCATAGTGTAGCTTTAAATCATTCTTCCCACCAACGGCAGCAGCAGCAGCAGCAGCAGCAGCAGCAGCAGGATTTCAGTCTGTTTAAACACTGGGACATTTGTTCTTTTCCCCGAAGTGTAAAAATAAACCTGCTCCAAACCCACTTTTCATTTAGTTTGGCTCCTGCTGCACACCTGCTCAACATCACACACAGACACACGGTTTAGACACAAAACTGAAACTCTGACCTTCTCCTCTTCTCCTCTCCTCTGCTCTTCTCCTCTGACTGACTTCTCCTCTTCTTCTCCTCTGACCTCTCCTCTGCTCCTCTTCTCCTCTCTCCTCTGACCTTTTCCTCTTCTCCTCTGACCCTCTTCTCCTCTGACCTTCTCCTCTCCTCCTCTGACCTCTCCTCTCCTCCTCTCTTCCTCTGACCTCTCCTCTCTCTCTGACCTTCTCCTCTCTCCTCTGACCTCTCCTCTTCTCCTCTGACCTTCTCCTCTTCTCCTCTGACCTTCTCCTCTTCTCCTCTGACCTCTCTTCTCCTCTGACCCTCTCCTCTTCTCCTCTGACCCTCTCCTCTTCTCCTCTGACCTTCTCCTCTTCTCCTCTGACCCTCTCCTCTGACCTCTCCTCTGACCCTCCTGTTCCTCTGACCTTCTCCTCTTCTCCTCTGACCCTCTCCTCTTCTCCTCTGACCTTCTCCTCTGACCCTCTGTTCCTCTGACCTTCTCCTCTGCTCATCTGACCTTCTCCTCTCCTTCTCTGACCTTCTCCTCTGACCCTCTCCTCTCCTCCTCTGACCCTCCTGTTCCTCTGACCTTCTCCTCTCCTCCTCTGACCCTCCTCCTCTGACCTTCTCCTCTCTCCTCCTCCTCCTCTGACCCTCTCCTCTTCTCCTCTGACCCTCCTGTTCCTCTGACCTTCTCCTCTGACCCTCCTGTTCCTCTGACCTTCTCCTCTGACCCTCCTCTTCTCCTCTGACCTTCTCCGCTCCTCCTCTGACCTTCTCCTCTTCTTCTCTGACCTTCTCCTCTTCTTCTCTGACCTTCTCCTCTTCTTCTCTGACCCTCTCCTCTCCTCTGACCCTCCTCTCTCTGACCTTCTCCTCTCCTCCTCTGACCCTCTCCTCTCCTCCTCTCCTCTTTGTTCCTCCTCTTGTTTTCCGGCCGTTCTGTCCTTCACAGATGATCCCCGTTGTGTTGGAGTCTCAGGTCAAACAGACAAAAGGATCTGAGGAGCAGAGGCTGTGGACTCTGATAAAGACCAGGGGCCGTTTAACGTGGAGCAAACACACAGACGATAAAAGATGAACAGGTGCAAGAGGCTGATAGAGAAACAGGAGAGGAAAGAGGAGAGGAAGAGGAGAGGAAAGAGAAAGAGGGAGAGAGTGAGAAGGAAAAAAGAGAGAAAGAGAATCATAAAAAGTAAAATGGGTCTGATTTTTACGATATCTTGTAAAAGCAGCAGGTGATCGGGCTCATAATGACTCTGCTGTGGGCTGTCTGCATCTCATTACAAAGAGTTTTACCGGTCATGAATCAGGAAGTGCACTGTTACCATGCTAGTTGTTGTTAAACTTTACCGTGACCCTCTGGACTCTGAAAGTTGTGAAAAGCTTTTATAAACTCATCGTGGAGAATAAACACGATGTGCTGAATGCAGAAAGTAAGAGAGGAATTACTACTGATACTGATACTGATACTGATACTGATACTGATACTGATACTGGTACTGATACTGATACTGATACTGATACTGGTACTGCTGCTGCTGTAAGTGTTATACTGACCAAACCCAATCAATGCAAGAGTCTCTCCCCTGATGCTCCAGAGACCACCTCCCAGGATTACAAGTACTACTGATACTACAACTACTACTACATCTAAATGGTCATGTTTTTATGTAGTACTTTTCTACCGTCAAGGCTCAAAGTGTTTTAGGTCGAGTAAACACTCAGCACATTCAGACACAAGTGAACACAGACACTGAGGGCGACTTGTACTAGGACTTTAAAACCGTGCTGTGCTCAGGCTCGACCGCACAACCGACCGAGCCACGGTCGATGACGTCAGCGCACGACGCTGTTTGTTTACATGTTTCCCAGCAGAGCAAACGCTTTAGTGGAGGAAATAAGTCCAGCGGCAGAAATATTTATTAAATAGTGAGACAGATATGAGGCCTGCTGCAGCTCCTCTGTGAGTTTATGAAGATAAAAACAGAGCAGAGGAGAGAAGAGAGAAGGAGATGAAGCTACAAAACGTCTGTCACCGTCCACAGTCGTTTCTGAAGGTCAGAGTGGATTCACTCTGTTTTAGAGCAGAGTTTTTATCGTATGAGTAACACACAGGGCTCGTACAGTGAGGTCGTGCCTGTGCACGTACAGGAGTAACCGAGCCGTGCTTTGGCCCACCTCCTCCAACCAGGTCAGTCTTGACTGTGTCACACTGGACAAATGTACCAAAGCTTTAGGGGTGATCCAGTTCTAAAGTCTAGTGTGAGTGCACCCCAAGTGTCTTGCCCAAGAACACAACAACAGCATTCATCTGTGGGAGCTGAAATCACACCGCCAACCTGTGGGTCAGTGGATCTGAACACTTCACCAACTGAGCTTCTGTTGTAAATGAAAACAGATGCTCAGCAAAAATAATAATAATAATAATGACCTCACACAGAGAGATTTTGGGTCTGGCCAATAAGTGAAAATACCAGACACAACATTTGTGGACTTTGACAAAGTAGAATGTGATCCCGGATACTGACCAAACCCGATGAGTCCGAGCGTTTCTCCTCGGATGCGGGCGGCGCCTGAGGCCACCTCCCTGATCTGCTCCACGCTCTGGACCCGGGTGCCCTCCCGCAGAGCCTGGTACAGCCACGTGTTCCTCCGGTACAAGTTCAACACGTGACACAGCGTCGAGTCTGCCGTCTCCTCCACCGCCGCAGACGGGATGTTACACACCGCGATACCTGGAAGAGACGAGGAGGAGGAGGAAGAGGAGGGTTTGAGCGTTAAACATGTATGAACGAAACAAAACACAACTCCAGGTCTGTTTGTGACGAGGAAAAGACATTAGAAAAGAAAATATCATAATATGGAGCCTTTATTTTTTCATTTATTTGTATTCCTTCCTTTTAACTCAGCTGTTTCTAATTCTCTAATTCTCTGCTTTGACTCGTCCCCGGTGCAGATGACTCACGCTCTGGTCTCTGTAAATCTCCGGGTGAGGTCCAAGTGTCACTTTTCACAACAGTCTCTCCGCTTTGGTCCATTTCATTAAACCAAACTCCTCTGAGCGTCTCCCGAGGCCGAAGCGCCGACGTCAACTCTGAAAACACGACCGGCTCAGACCCGCACCTTTTATTATTCTTGTGACGGCGCAGAGACGAGCTCCGAGGTGTTTACGCCGAGATACGAGCGCCTTCTAACTCGTCTAATTACAAAACGGAGACTGTGATTTGACTTTTGTCCCTGGTGACTCCCCGTGGCTTTTGTTTTTATGAAATGTTCTAATTGAATCATTAAATTGTTGTTATTCTCTATTGAGCCTTGACCTTGGACAAACCCGGGGTGGTCAAGTTCTGTCCCAGATACGAAGTGAATGTGATGAAATCAGCTGATCCGAGTCACTGATTTGACTGATTATTATTTAATTACAAAAACACTGGACATGAAAGCAGAATGAGCTCCTCACTTTGGGTCGCCAGAGAATATTCTTATCTATATATTATTATTATTTTATTTCTTCAAACAATCTGCCCATAAATTAAATCAAAGGTTGCATAAATTCCTCTTTCCTGTTTCAGTTTTTATTGCCAGATTTCACAGCGGTGGAGCATTTCACACCTCGGCCTTCAGTCTGAAACAATCCTCCTCAAGAAATATTTTATGGTGATAAAAGCGTCTTATTCTATAGAAACACAGTAGAGCCGTGGAGATTCTGTGCACGCAGAAGAAGTGAGGAGCGCTGGGGCTAAACCAGGACTAAACCAGGACTAAACCAGGACTGTTTGACGGGATTGGCCCGAAGGTGTGCCCATGTAGACTGTCGGGTGACCGCAGACGAAAGGACCGCGCCGGGACCGGGGCTCCACGCCGCACGGGACTCGGCGCAGCTGTCGCCTGATCGCGCTTTGCGGACACTTTCTCTCACTCTCTCTCAAGTCCAAGATTAGTCCTGTTGTTGTCCTGTTTTAGACCTGGTTTAGGCCTGGTGTAGATCTGGTGTAGTCCTGGTTTAGAGCTGGTTTATATCTGGTTTAGACCTGGTGTAGACCTGGTGTAGTCCTGGTTTAGACCTGGTTTAGATCTGGTTTAGACCTGGTGTAGACCTGGTTTAGTCCTGGTTTAGACCTGGTTTAGTCCTGGTGTAGTCCTGGTTTAGATCTGGTTTAGACCTGGTTTAATCCTGGTTTAGACCTGGTTTAGGCCTGGTTTAGATCTGGTGTAGTCCTGGTTTAGAGCTGGTTTAGACCTGGTTTAATCCTGGTTTAGACCTGGTTTGGACCTGGTGTAGTCCTGGTTTAGATCTGGTTTAGATCTGGTTTAGACCTGGTTTAATCCTGGTGTAGTCCTGGTTTAGATCTGGTTTAGATCTGGTTTAGACCTGGTTTAATCGTGGTGTAGTCCTGGTGTAGTCCTGGTTTAGACCTGGTGTAGTCCTGGTGTAGTCCTGGTTTAGTCCTGGTTTAGACCTGGTTTAATCCTGGTTTAGATCTGGTTTAGATCTGGTTTAGACCTGGTTTAGTCCTGGTGTAGTCCTGGTTTAGTCCTGGTTTAGTCCTGGTGTAGTCCTGGTGTAGTCCTGGTGTAGTCCTGGTGTAGTCCTGGTGTAGTCCTGGTGTAGTCCTGGTGTAGTCCTGGTTAGTCCTGGTGTAGTCCTGGTTTAGTCCTGGTTTAGTCCTGGTTAGTCCTGGTGTAGTCCTGGTTTAGTCCTGGTGTAGTCCTGGTTAGTCCTGGTTTAGACCTGGTGTAGTCCTGGTTTAGACCTGGTTTAGTCCTGGTTTAGATCTGGTTTTAGAGTCCTGGTTTAGTCCTGGTGTAGTCCTGGTGTAGTCCTGGCGTAGTCCTGGTTTAGTCCTGGTTTAGTCCTGGTGTAGTCCTGGTGTAGTCCTGGTTTAGTCCTGGTGTAGTCCTGGTGTAGCCCTGGTTTAGTCCTGGTTTAGACCTGGTTTAGACCTGGTTTAGTCCTGGTTTAGACCTGGTGTAGTCCTGGTGTAGTCCTGGTGTAGTCCTGGTTCTCTCTGTCCAGTCACGGGTCTGAATCTGGTCTCGTTGTCGTTCGTTGTTAAACTTCCTGGTGACACCAACTCAAAATCTGACTGGTTGAAGCAACAGTTTCATCCACATTTATTTTGTTCGAGGTTCTGCAGGACGGATTGTGAAAACCTCAGGGACACTTCTTTGACTTTGATTCTGCCTGGCAACAAGTGACGGCTGAAATGTGATTGGTCAAATGTTTTAATATGAAAATACACGTCTGGAAGCAGCACGAGCATCGGAAAAGCTCCGACAGGAAGAGGACAGACCATTTGGAATGATTTAATAATAATATAACTGACATCAGTCTGTGATTCAGATATTTTTTTAGACCAGCAGAGCAGGACTTGCACATCCTGACATTCCACCACTGAAACATCCTTGGTTTAGTTTAGGTTTAGTTTAGCCGGGGCCGATGGAAGTCATTTTTAACAGGGGGCGCTGTAAAGCAAGAGAGAAACCTGATGTTGACAACAGTGTAACTTTAACGTCTTGGGTTCTTTTTAAAGACAATACAGTAAAGTGTATTGACCTTGTTGACATGTTTCTGCTGCTGAATCTTCAGAACCGTCCTGGTGTTGGTGTTGTCGTGTCGTGTATCAGCTGTTGTTACTTCCTGTGGGCGTGGTCAGGTCACTCAGACTGACCACGCCTCCCGTCGCCCGCTGTTCTTTGGAGGAGGACGTCCCAGGTGTGAAAGGAGGTTCAAACTCTGGATCAGGGACGGTGAAATCAGGAAACGAGGCACGGACAGGATTAACCGTGATGACGGAGCGTTCTTCCTTTCACACACCTGGACACCCTCCTCCAGAGACACCGGGCGACGGGAGGCGTGGTCAGTCCGAGCCACCTGCAGGTCCATCAGGTCTGACCACGCCCACAGGAAGTAACAACAGCTGATATACGACACGTCACCACCAACACCGGGGACAGTTCAGCCGAAACACGTCAACAAGGTAAAAACACTTTACTTTATTGTCTATATTGAACCTAATGAAGAACATAAAAAGACACAAAGAACATTTTGCGCTTGACAACGTAACTTCCGTAAACCTGCATGTTTAGGCCTACAAATAATTAAATTAAAATCTAAATACACATACCAGCCTACAGCCTACATGCGTCAAAATCACTTCCCAAAATATTCGTAAAGAATTTATAAATTGTGCAAAATATTTTAATACATAAAAAAAAAAAACGTTTCTCATTTATAAAAAAACGGTGTGTATGTTCAGTGTACGGCTGCCTCTCCGTATATTTTTTTAAGTTTTGCAAAGCTCGTTTTAACTATTGTTGAGGCGACGTTTTTATAAGCGAGGAGCACAGCAGCTTCAAAATCAAAGTCAAAACTCAGGTCACGCCTCCCTGAACTCGGGGAGAAGCAAATTGCCGCCAAAATCGGGCAAATTCTCCTGTAGTGTGTGGAGCGGCCTTTAGGCAACTGAGCGTACAGCACTGGCCCCGCCCCCTGGCCCCAGACCCCGCCCACACACCGAGCTCGCCGGCCGCCTTGATGTCGATGTTGTCGTATCCGCTCCCGATCCGGATGATGATCCTCAGAGCTTTGAACTTCTCCAGGTCTTCTCTGGTCAGGGTGATGGTGTGGTACATCATGGCCCCCACCGCCTCGTTCAGAACCTGCAAATAAACCAGAGACACAAGAACCCGAGGTCAACCAGGTGAGAAGATTTCCATGGAAACAGGGAGTTAAAATCGTACTGAGGAACATTCTCCTTGGAATTAGGTGAGTTTAATGCCAGACTGTGGAAGATTAGAGCCAAAGGAACCAAGCTCACAGTGAGGACACGCGTTTTTCATCTAAAAATATACTTCATGTTGAGTAAGTTTTGACAAAAAAGTTCCACGATGGGGCTTTAATTCTAACAATGATACCTACACAAACACACTGGCATGACTCCCATCCTCCTGTATCACTGTTCGGACGGTACAAAAATATCAAAATATCGATATATCGTATTGTTTTTTGTGATGATACAGTATCGATATCGTGGGCTGCTGTTTCGATATACTGCCAAGAGTATTTTTTGGTTTATTTTACTAAATTATTTTGTTATAGAGCTACAGTTTTGTTGTTTGTTTAGGGGAAGGAAACTCGTTTATGCGACACATTTGACATTTTCACAGTTTTGATGATTAAAATGTTTGTGTTTCATATGAACTTGAAGAAGAGGTTTAACAAAGACTTTTAGAAGAGAGGAGTGATGCAAAACAGTTCGGCGGGGGACACATTTTGAACTCATTGCGGGAGCGGGTGGGTGGGATGATAAACTGCAGTCCCGCAAACTAAATATGTAAAGTAAAACATACAAATGATTCATGTAAGCATATCATGCATCATTTGTGCTGGATATTTTATTTGGCATTAATAAAAACATTTTTAGCAGCCTAAATTTGTGGAAATGGTCTAATCTCACACACATTTTAGACAATTCTTTTCCGCTTCTCTGTGTTTAGAGCTTAAAGGTTGTACAGAGGATTTTTTTTTTAGTTTCAAATTGTCAATGAAAGTTTAAAATACCATTACAGAGATGCAGCAGCTTTGTAATTATGATGACCAAAAAGAATGAAAATCTATCAACTGTGGACGTAGTGAGGCCAGATAAACATCAGCCAATAGAAAACGAGGCTGCCTCATTTTCTATTGGCTGAGGGGTTGTCAATCAAACTCCCTACGTTTCTAGTGTAACTGACTCGCCGGGATTATGTAGTTTACGCAGCGGTTCTTAGAGGCTTTTTCAAACTGTAGCTTCCACACAGTTCACTCAAAGTTTGTCGCGATGGCGGACGAGAATCCACGACCAGTTCGCCACAAAAGAAAGTACATTTTTGAAGTTGCTGAAAGATGAAGAGAAGTGGAAAATGAGCAAAGCCAAACTGAGGTGATTCTTGGAGATCTCTTCCAGCGATGGCGCGACTGAAGCAGACGAAGGGACTAAAAACTGACGCATCGGTCACTAAATTACTTCTAGACAGGTCACTTCAACAGTAATTCTTGAACGCGCACGGCTGTAAACAAGCGTGATTTCTAGAGTAAAGAGGCGGGAGGAGATGTTTCTACTGAGGAGCTGTGGAGGAGGAAGGTGGTGTCACGCAGGCACAACATTAAAAAAATCCTCTATACAACCTTTAAGAAAGAAAACGTCTCCATCTTGGGGGATTTGTCGCAGATGCAGGTGGGAGCGGGAATGAAAATAAATAAGGTACCTTGTCCCACGCAGACCTCGTTTAGTATCATTTAGTATATCGAATATCGTATCGAATATCGTATCATATCGTATCATATCGTGGCCTAAGTATCGAGGTATGTACTAGGGGTGTGCAAAAATATCGGAATATCAATATATCATATTGTTTAATGTGATGATACAGTATCGATATCGTGGGCTACTGTATCGATATTTCACCAAGAGGATTTTTAGGTGTGTTTTACTAAATTATTTACAGCTACAGTTTTGTTGCTTGTGGAGTGAAAGGAAACTCATTTATGCGACACATTTGATATTTTTACTGTTTTGATGATTAAAATTAGTGCTGTCATGCGATTAAAAAATTGAGAGATTAATTAATTATGATCTGTAATTAATTAATCTAAATTAATCTCTTTTTAATCTCACCTAAAAATTGCTGAGAAAAGCTTCAATTTGAGGTATTTTCATTTAAATTCATTATTACATTATTGTGGCAGATCAAAACACTGATATAGAACAAAAAAAAGTGACTTTAAAGTCATTTATTGTTTAACAAACTTTAACAGATGCAGTCACTTACATTCCACAGTATCATCATTATTGTTACTGTTACTAATCTGCAGTGTTGGGAAGGTGACTTTTAAAATGTAATCCCCTACAGATTACAGATTACAGATCCCAAAATGTAGTTTGTAACTTAATACATTTAATTACTTAAAGTGAGTAACGTAATTTGAATACTTTGGATTACTTGATATTGTCCCAACAACACATAAAAACAGATTTTATAATAAAGCAACTCGCATACAGAAACAGTAAAGTTTTTAAGTAAGAGATTAAAAATGAGATTAACGCGATTAAAAAACATAACGCGCTAAATATGACTGTAATTAATTAATCGCAATTAACGCGATAATTTGACACCCCTAATTAAAATGTTTGTGTTTCATATGAACTTTGCACATGAAGTGGTTTAACAAAGAGTTTTAGTATCACAGCCACGATTTAGCCTTTATTTTTTATTGAACCGTATCGAATCAATTTGAAATATATCGTATCGAATAGAAAGTGCACTGTATCGAGGTATGTACCATATTGTGGCCTATGCAGATGTGTTTTTGTGTCAGATGCCCTCCCAGATGTTGTGGTCTGGTTGGAGAAACACAAAAATCATCAAACATTTGTGGATTTACTCGGTATTAAAGCGTCCGAAAACAGATTTTAACCCCAAATTCATAACCACAAACTAAATAAATCGTCTTTTATTTTTTAATCAGATGTTTTTACGACGCGCCGCGGAAACCAGACGAGCTCCAGTCGTGTTTTTTTTTTTTTTTTTTTACAAGTGATTGAATAGAAACGCTTCTCACATCTCGTCTCTTCTCAATTATCTTTATGCAAATCACTTCAGATGAACGCGCGGAACAGCGAGAGCCCGAGATAAGAACGGCAACAGATATTGTGTTTTTCTTTATTACAAAAACACCGGCGCTCTGAGATGGAAGATAGAAGAACGCTCGTCGAGATAAACACAGTAATAAAGTCGTGCGTTTAAATGAGCCTCGTGTTTTTGCAGAAGAGGTTTTCGTATCAGAGATCAGCAGGAAGAGGAGGAGCACGAAGAGACCGAAGGGAAATTAGACGAGTAAAATACAGCCACACACGAATACGGTTTACAACATGAGAAGATGTTTTTATTTACTTTCACGGTGAGAAAATTGGGGGTTAAATTTCCGAGCGACACAACATAACATAAATAGCAGTTTTAGTACACTTCGTCTGGATTTTTTTCTTAATTTTGCTTTTAAAACTGCAAATTTTACCCCCAAATGAAGTGTTATACATCCTTTTTTCCGAGTACATCCTGTTATTTCACTATTAGATGCTGTAGTTGTGTCATATGGATGGAATAAAATAGCCTGATTCATCACTTCGTTTCACTTTGTGGAAACCGTCTGACCTCGCTGCATTAGGATTCGTTCGCTCGACAGTAGGCGGGTACTTTTTTAATTTAACCAATCGCTGTTGTTTGGTCGTGACATATGTAATGCTCCAAATCCTGTAGGAAGAAGGACAGTAACGTCTTTCCTCTTGATAAAATTCACCAAACATTCTCTTTGTTTCAGCTTTAAATCCTCGATCTCGGGAATCACTGATAACACAGAATGTTTGTCTCTTCACTGATTGGCTGGTGACCAGACTTGCACTTCAGGGGTTTTTACAAACTGTCTAGTGGATTCTGATTCCTGACCTTGTCGCTGGAGAGAAACGAAATTAAGCGGAGGCACTAGGTGGCACCAGACTGACTAGTAATAAAAGCTACAGGACCAGAAATACAAACAAAAAAATTCACATTATTTCATACAAAACACACAGCATGTTTAAACAACTTTTTGGACATAAAAAAAATGCTTAGATGCTTGTAAAATAATGTTTATGCCTGCTATACCGACATGGAATGTTCTGTTTTTCATGTTTTTAAGAAAATCTGAGCCATAATCACAGGAGTGTCAAACTCATTTTGTTCCGGGGGTCGTATCCAACCAACTTTGATCCTAAAGTGTCCGGATCAGAAAACTCATGTCATATAAACCCCAAAAATAACAATAAGTTCAAATATTTGTGCAGAGAAACACAAATCTTTTTAAACTCATGAACTCTTTCTTTTACAAAATATTATAATATTATGAACAACCTGAAACTTTAAGAAAAATGTAATTTCAACACAAAGTTTTAACATGAACTTGTCTGTAAACAGGAATAAGTCCATTTTTGTTGTAAAATCCTGCACTCGGCTCCACTTTTCTCATGTTGGACATTTTTCTGATGAGGGTGTCACGGTCAACAGTCAAAACGATCGTCCTTTAAGAGCGTTTGGAAAGAGACAAGTCTTCATTTGTGCTGCTCTGGTGGGAGGGGCCACGTACAGAGACGCTGGAGACGCTGCTGTGATAAACACCACAGAAAATTAACAAGATTTTAATAGAAAATATAATTAAAATATTTGAGTAGAAAATCAGCCCAGGGCCGGATTAAAGGTCTTGGAGGGCCGGATCTGGCCCCCGGGCCGTATGTTTGACACTCCTGCTTTAACACAGCTCACATCTGGAGTGAGACGTTTATCCTGTTTTTATTCAGATTCACCGGACTGACCCACAGACCACAGCACCAAACTCCTGGACGTGTTTTTGTCACTTAAATTAATTTTGATTCCAGCACAGAGAAAAGCACGGACCCATGGAGCTCGACACCTTGTTCTGGTTCCAGAAGCAAAATTCCCATTCATTTTTCCCATGAACATAAACTGTCAAATATGAATAGTTCAAAAAACTAAATACCATATTTTTCGGACTATAAGTGGCACTTTTTAGGGGAAATTTATTTTATAAAATCAGGGACCAGGAACAGACATTTCATCTTGAAAGGAAAGTTCTAGTAATAATAACAACAGAAGAGAGAACAACAGACTGTTAACGTCACATATGAACAGTTCTTCAGATAAATATAACATAAACAACAGAACAGAACAAGTTTATCAAACTCTCCATCTCACTCCAAATCACTGAACAACTGCTGCGCAACTTCTGTGTCACTGAAGTCCAGGCTTTGTCGTCCAGTGACTTCCAGGAAAGTTGCGCTGCAGACCCGCCCGCTTCCTGTGAGTCTGTGTTCTCCATCCTCTCACTCGCTCTAAACTTTCTTTCTGCTGCTCGTTTATAGTTTTCTGCTGAATATTTCACGACTTACAGCAGGACAGAGGCTTTTTCTGCAGGAGACATTTACAGAAAACTGACACACAAGTCTAGAGCCTCTCACACCTGTCAGTCTGAAATTTTTAATCTATAAGTCGCACCTGAGGATAAGTCACAGGAAACAACCAAACCATGAAAAAAAAGTGCCACTTATAGCCTGAAAAATACGGTAGTCACATTTTTATACAAAGCTTTTCCACCTTCAAATCTCTCAAAGCATTTACACTCACATTCACACACCAGAGCACAAAGGCACTGGGGGCGAGGGGGGTTTAAGTGTCTTGCCCAAGGACACAACAACAACAACAGTACTCAGGGGCGACTGTAGCTCTGTGCGGCGTTTATCCACTGATCTGAAGGTTGGCGGTTCGACATAAACATCATCGGTTGAACATCAGATCCACTGACCTACAGGTTGGTGGTGCGATTCCAGCTCCTACAGATGAATGCTGCCGTTGTGTCCTTGGGCAAGACACTTAACTCACCTCGCACCCAGTGTCTGCGCACACTGGTGTATAAATGTGAGTGTGAATTGGTGAGTGGTTATTTGTTGTAAAGCGTTTTGTGACCATTTATCATTTACCGTTTAAAGTGTGGGAGCTGGAATCGCACCGACAACCTGAACGAATAAGAAGTCTACTTCCAGAACCCGGTCACGGTGGGTCGTTCTGGTGGCCCGTGCGCGCGGGAATAGAACCCTGTACCTTCTCGTGGATCTCCTGCGTGGACTGAGCGTCGCAGAAGGCCACGGTGGCCAGGTCTTTGAGGATGGGCATCTCCACCGTACAGTCTCTGCCGTCCAACAGCGCCACCAGCGGGCGAGGGTGCAGCGGCCCGTTCATGATCTGAGGACGGATACCTGCCGAAGAGCACAGAGGAGGAGGAGGTTAGTGAGGAGCGAGGACGCCGACACTGCGGAACATTTTAAAGCGTGTTTAAAGACACTGGTCACATTTTTAAAAAACACTTTTCCACTTTCAAGGCCCAGAGCGAAACTACTCACCCACATTCATTAACCAGAGCACAGACACTGGGGGCGAGTTAAGTGTCTTGCCCAAGGACACAACAACAGCACTCACTCAACCAATAATGTTGTATGGGAGCGGGATTCAAACTGCCAACCTTCAGATCAGTGATAAACACTCGATCAACTGAGATACAATCATCACATTATTAAAAACACTTCACATTGAACTGATCAGATTCGTCTGTAGCCACGTCTGCCCTGGGACAGACTCTCCCATCACAGTCACACAGTCACACAGGTGAGGGAAGATAAAGTGCCTTGCTCAAAGACAAAACCACAGTAAGTGTGTAATGCTGAGCCCAAGAACTGGACCCCAAAAACAGACGTGTCGTACAATATAAATGTAAATATTTATAACATTTATAACAGAACGAGGCGCTCGCCTCCTCAACAGAAAACAACGTTTGATACTCACTTTATCAAGGCAGAGTTTCAAAAACTACTAGTAGAAGTAATAATAGCAGCAGTAGTAGTAGTAGTAGTAGTAGTAGTAGTAGTATTTATTTATTTATTTATTTATTTATAAGGGAAGCCCCTTGACGTGTAACAACTCGTAGTAGTAATAATATTATTAGTAGTAAAAGTAATAGTAATAATAGTAGTAGCAGCAACAGTAGTAGTACAAAGTACTATTTGAAATAATATGAGCCAGTTTGTCTGGATGAGGCCAAGACAAACGGGTTTGAGGTTTTTGAGGCTTTTGGTCCCTGGGCCACAGTTTGGACTCGTCTGGATTAAAGACCTGCACAAAACCTGCACAAAACCTGCACAAAACCTTACAAAACCTGTACAAAACCTGCACAAAACCTGCACAAAACCTGTACAAAACCTGCACAAAACCTGCACAAAACCTGCACAAAACCTGCACAAAACCTGCACAAAACCTGCACAAAACCTGCACTACTGCGGTTTTAAAAAAAGTACCACAACCTCAACTGACTCTGAGCTTCACCTGCAAACAGAGACAAGTCCAAGTCTACATCAGGTCTAAACCAGGACTAAACCAGGACTAAACCAGGACCAAACCAGAAATAAACCAGAAATAAACCAGGAAATAAACCAGGACTAAACCAGGACTAAACCAGGACTAAACCAGGACTAAACCAGGACTAAACCAAGACTAAACCAGGACTAAACCAGAAATAAACCAGAAATAAACCAGGACTAAAACCTGGACTAAACCTGGACTAAACCAGGATCAAACCAGGAAATAAACCAGAAATAAACCAGGATCAAACCAGGACTAAAGCAGGACTAAACCAAGTCTACACCATGACTAAACGAGGACTAAACCAGGACTAAACCAGGACTAAACCAGGACTAGTCATCACATCCTCAGTGTTTGTTGTGTGTTGTTCTTCTAAAATGGATCGTTTATGGATTTTAACAGGTTTAAACGTTTCCATGGTGATCACGTCTAATTTAAGCCTCCATAAAAATGAAAATGAGGTTTTCCAAAACGGCTCCAAAACCGAATCTGGGTCGAGACAAACAGATTCAGGAAAAAAACAGGATCAACGTGACAGTAACACAGAGAGAACCTGCAAACACTGAACTGAGAGAAACGAGGAGTTTAACCCACAACCTCCTCACTGACAGGAGACGGGCTAACCACTCTGCCACAGTCACACGGCCCTGATCCCGTCCAGTTTCACCAAAACACACAAAAAACACGACTCCGGAAACAGAAGTGGAAACAGACGTCTGGAACTCTTCACTTTTTGTTCTTTAAATATTAAAAAGGCAAAAAATGCAGCTACACCGTTAAACACTTTTAATTCTGCTCAAAAAAATAAATAAAAAAATTTAAAAAAGTTTAAACCTGGAGCTGTGGACGATGCTTTAAAGGCGTATTGTGTAACTTTTCGAGTGGAGGTGTTTGTGTTTTGTCTGGAATGTTTCACAGTCTGGCATTAAATTAAAATAAATTAAATAAATTAAATTAAATAAATTAAATAAAATTAAAATTAAAAAAAATTAAAATAAAATAAAATTACAGAAAATTAAATAACATAAAATTAAATAACATAAAATTAAAAACAAAACAAAACAAACAAAAAAATAATAAATAGAATGTTATTAGAACCTAAACCAGGACTAAACAAGTTCCAAACCAGGACCAATGCAAGTCTACATCAAGACTAAACCAGGACTAAACCAGAACCAAACCAGGATCAAACCAACACAACCAGGACTGAACCAGGGCCAAACTAAAACCAAACCAGGACTAAACAAGCGCTAAATCGAGACTAAACGAGGACCAAACCAGGACCAATCCAAGTCTACAACAGGACCAAAACCAGGACAAAATTAGGGCCAATCCAGGACTAAACCAAGACCCAACCATGATCAAATCTAGACCAAACCAGGACTAAACCAGGACTAAATCAAGGCTAAACCAGGAATAAACCAGGACCAAACCAGGACTAAACCAGGACTAAATCAAGGCTAAACCAGGAATAAACCAGGACCAAACCAGGACTAAATCAAGACTAAATCAAGACTAAACCAGCAATAAACCAGGACCAAACCAGGACTAAAGCAGGACCAACAAGGACTAAACCATGACTGAACCAGGATGAGACCAGGACTAGACCAGGACTAATCCAGGAGTAAACAGGACCACACCAGGACCAACCCAAGTCTACATCAAACCAGGACTAAACCAGGACCAAACCAGGACCAACCCAAGTCTACATCAAACCAGGACTAAACCAGGACCAATCCAAGTTTACAACAGAACCAAACCAGGACGAAACCAGATCTAAAACCAGGACTAAACTAGAACCAATCCAAGTCTACATCAAGACTAAACCAGGTCTAAACCAGGTCTAAACCAGGACTAAACCAGGTCTAAACCAGGTCTAAACCAGGACCAAACCGGACTAAACCAGGTCTAAACCAGGACTAAACCAGGTCTAAACCAGGACTAAACTAGAACCAATCCAAGTCTACATCAGGACTAAACCAGGTCTAAACCAGGACTAAACCAGGTCTAAACCAGGTCTAAACCAGGTCTAAACCAGGACTAAACTAGAACCAATCCAAGTCTACATCAGGACTAAACCAGGTCTAAACCAGGACTAAACCTGGACTAAACCAGGACTGATCCTTGTCTACATCAGGTCTAAACCAGGACCAAACTGGGACCAAACCAGGACCAACCCAAGACTAAACAGGACCAAACCAATACTAAATCAGGACTAAACCAGAACTGAATCAGGACTACACAAGGATTAAACCAGGATCAAACCAGGACTAAACAAGGACTAAACTAAGATTGAACCAGGACTGATCCTTGTCTAAATCAGGTCTAAACCAGGACCAAACCAAGACCAAAACAGGACTAAACAAGGTCTAAATCAAGACCAAACCAGGACCAATCCAAGTCTACAGAAGGACCAAACCAGGACTAAACCAGGACTAAACCAGGTCTAAACCAGGACTAAACCAGGACCAAACCAGGACCAAACCAGGACCAAACCAGGACTAAACCAGGACTAAACCAGGACTAAACCAGGACTCTAAACCAGGACTAAACCAGGTCTAAACCAGGTCTAAACCAGGACAAAACCAGGACAAAACCAGGTCTAAACCAGGTCTAAACCAGGACTAAACCAGGACTAAACCAGGACTAAACCAGGACTCGTATAAATCCAGTCTTGGTCGCGTCTTGCCTGTAAAACTCGGTCTCCACATGGTCAGAACTTCTTCATCTTCCGTTCGCTCCCGAGTCCAAATTCTGAAAACCTTCCCGAGTTCTGCGTCCTTATTCCTCGCATCCTCGTCCCCTCTCCTCGTCTCCTACTCCCTTAACGATGCCTCCTTCGCTGTCCTCCATGTGTCCTTACGCTTCCGCCCACGCGCCGTTTCGAAAATCGCAGGATCCAAACGGGATTAAGAGATTTTGGTTCGAGCGAAAACGTCCAAAAATGTGAATAAATTTGCTGGTGGACGCGTCTCCTGTCGTCTCCTGTCGTCTGTTCAGCGCCGAACGTGAAACCGCATCCTCTGTTTCCTTTCCTTCCTTCCTTTCCTCTCTCTCTTTCTCTCCTCCCACCCTCTCTCTTCTGTCGTGTTCTGTCCCGTCCACTCCTCTTTTTACCTCGTCTTTCTCTCCTCCCTTCCTCTCTTCTCTCTATCCTTTCTCCTCTTTCTTCTTTCCTCCTCACTCTCTCCTCCTTTCATCTCTCCTCTCTCTCCTTCCTGCATCTCTAATCGATCTCTTCCCTCTTCCCTCTCTCTCTCTCTTCTCACTTTCCCTCCTTTCTTCTTTCTTTCCTCTTCACTCTCTCCTCCCTTCATCTCTCCTCTCTCTCCTCCTTTCATCTCTAATCATTCTCTTCCCTCTTCTCTCTCTCTCTCTTCTCTTACTTTCCCTCCTTTCTGCTTTCCTCTTCTCTCTTCTCACCCTCTTTCCTCTCAGTCCCTCTTTCCATTCTTTCTCTCTCTTCTATTCTATTTTGTATTCTCTCCATCTCTCTCCTTTCTGCATCTCTAATCGATCTCTTCTCTCTCTCTCGCTTTTCTCTTTCCCTCTTTTTGCTTTTCTCATCTCTCTCCGTCTTCTTCTCTCCTCCCTCCCTGTCTCTCTCATTTCCTAATCTCTCTCTCCTTTCTCTTCCTCTCCTCCTCTCTCCTCCCTCTCTTCTCTCTCCTTTTTGCATCTCTAATCAATCTCTTCTCTCTCTCCTCCCTCTCCATCCTTCTCTCTCTCTCTTTCTTTCTTTCTTTCTGGTGGTTTTGCAGAAGTGACACCTTCTGTCTGATAAAACTCTTCTGTTGTGTTTAACAATGAACAGACCACACTTCTTCTTCTTCTTCTTTTTTAC